GAACATTCCAAGCAGAGGCAACTGGAGGCAACTAAAATATTCCTCCCTAAAATGCTGGAGATTATAGTGAAAAGGTTAAAACAGTCTCCTTTCTGCCTTGGTCAGCTCGTAACCAAGGCTCAGAGACAGCACTGCTAGAGGACCCAGAAACAGACTTCACTCTTCCCATCAATTTACCTTCCCGCATTTTCTCACCTTTTGGGAGCCTGAAGATGGTCTTTTCTTTGTCTTGTCACTAGATAGGATTCGTGGCTCTTTGTTAAAATACTATTTAAGCAAAGCCCTTAAGCCACTGCTTAGAGAGAGAAATACTTTTGAACTGAAGGCTCTCCTGTGCATTGGGTACAACACACATTAATAAACTTCCGTTTATTTTTCTTTTGTTAATCTGACTTTTATTTTCAGGACAGTGTCTCAACTGAAAACCTAAAAAGGGGAAAAAAAGAAATTGTTTTCTCCCCTGCACAACAATAAGTACAAAAGCCTTGAAAAGAGGCCACGCTTGGTGTTTTGGATTTTCTAGTACCCACACTTAAGACAAAGAAAAAAGAACAGAGGATATTAACTGTAATAATATATTTTATTTAACCTAATATAAAATATTTCAAAATATGATCAATATAAAAATTATTGAAATATTTTACATTTTTTCCTACAAAGTCTTCAAAGTCCAGGGTGCGTGCTGCACTTACAACACATCTCAATTGAGACTCGTCACATTTCAAATACTCAGCCATGTGTGGCTACCTTATTGGACAAGGAAGGTCTGTTTTTCCGAATTGTCCCAGTAATACCCTTTACAGCATACACACACACACAAACATACACACACATAGACACATACACATGTATTTATGTATAGAATCCAAGCAGGGATTACATTTTTATTTTTATTTATTTACTTATTTTTTAAGATGGAGTTTCACTCTTGTTGCCCAGGCTGGAGTGCAATGGCACAATGCCGGCTCACCGCAACCTCCGCCTCCTGGGTTCAAGCGATTCTCCTGCCTCAGCCAGCTGAGTAGCTGGGATTACAGGCATGCGCCACCACGCCCGGCTAATTGTGTATTTTTAGTAGAGATGGGGTTTCGCCACGTTGGTCAGGCTGGTCTTGAACTCCTGACCTCAGATGATTCGCCCACCTCAGCCTTCCAAAGTGCTGGGATTACAGCCATGAGCCACCGCACCCGGCCATTTATTTTTTATTTTTTATTTTTTGAGGATGGAGCTTCACTCTTGTCACCCAGGTTGGAGTGCAAAGGCCAGATCTCAGCTCACTGCAACATCTGCCTCCCAGGTTCAAGTGAGTGTCCTGCCTCAGTCTCCTGAGTAGCTGGGATTACAGGCATGCACCACCACGCCTGGCTACTTTTTGTATTTTTAGTAGAAAAGGGGTTTCACTATATTGACCAGGCTGGTCTCGAACTCCTGACCTCAGATGGTCCCCCTGCCTTGGCCTCCCAAAGTGCTGGGATTATAGGTGAGAGCCACTGCACCGGCCTACATTTTTATTTTAGTTGTCATGTCTCTCAGGCTCTTTTAATGTAGCAGAGTAACCCCAATTTTTTAAGCCTTCACACATTAATATATTTGAAGAGCACATGCAGGTATATTCTGTAGACTGTCTCAAATTTGGGATGTTTTAAAGTAGAGCCAATACATTCGTTGATAAGTTGAAAATGAGATGTTAGATAGATAGAAGCCAAGGATGAATCTAGAATTTTTTACCTGAACAACAAGGAAGATGTAATACCATCTTCCAAGATACAGAAACTGAGAAGCAGCAGGTCTAGGGAGGAAGACCTGGAACTCAGTTTTGGACATGTTAAAACTGAAAAGCGTCTTGGACATTCAAATGGGGCTATCAAGCTTATGACTGAATATGAGTCTGGAGTTCAGGTGAGAAATCCAGTTAAAGATATAAAATTGGAGCAGGCGTAGTGGCTCATGCCTGTAATCACAGCACTTTGGGAGGCCAAGGTGGGAGGATTGCTTGAAGCTAGGAGTTCAAAACAGACTGGACAACATAGTGAGACCCCCATTTCTTAAAAAAAAAAAAATTTAAAAACTTGCTAGATGTGGTGGCCTATTGTCCCTGCTACTCAGGAAGTTGAGGCAGGAGGATCACTTGAGCCCAGGAGATCAAGGCCACAATGAGCTATGATTGGGCCACTGCACTCCAGCCTGGGAAACAGGGCAACATGTCTCAAAAAAAAATTATATATACATATAATTAATATACTATATACATAATATATATAATTGGGAGTCTTCAGCATATGGGTAATAAAGCCATAAACTGGTTTATCTTGAAAGTATAGATAAAGAAAAAGGGCCAGGCATGGTGGCACGCCTGTAATCCCAGCATTTAGGAAGCCTAGGTGGGTGGATTGTTTGAGCCCAGGAATTCAAGACCAGCCTGGGCAACATGGCAAAACCTCATCTCTACAGAAAAATTAGCTGGTCATGGTGGTGTGCACCTGTGGTTCCCAGATACTCAGAAGGCTGAGGTAGGGGGATCACCTGAGCCCAGGAGGTCGAGGCTACAGTGGGCCAAGATCATGCCACTGCACTCCAGCCTGGGGGACAGAGAGACCTAGTCTCAAAAGAAAAAAAAAAAGAAAAAGAAAAAAAAAAGAACACATACAAAGACTGATGAACCTTGGGGCCTCTAATATTTAGAGGTCATAAAGAAGAAGAGGAACCAGTAAAGGAAAATGATGAGTGGCCAGGAGGAGAAAAATTAGGAGTGTGATATCTTAGAAGCTGGATTAAATGTGTTTCAGAGAGAAAGGAGTGTCAAATGTCAAAGACTGACAATTCAATGACCCTAACAGGCAATGTCAGTGGAGTCATGGGTTTGAAATCTTATTTGGAATTCATGTAAGAAAGAATGAGACAGACTGGAGATGGGGAGTATAGCAGCTCTTTAAAGAGCTGTACTGTAAAGGGGAGCAGGGAAGTGAATGTGCAGTCGCTGCGGGGAGAAAGTAAATGAAGTCAAGAGAGTTTTCTTTCTGTAATGAGAAAAAAAGTATAGCGTGTTTGTTGATAATGCAAAGGGTCCAGTTGAGATGGAAAAATTACCAAGATAAGAGAATTGTAGAGCAACATTCTTGAGGTGAGAGGAACTGATTGACATCTACTGCACAAACAGAGAGAGTATCCATAGTAACAGGAGGAAAGTCAGAGTCTATGGGTACCGTAGATGCAGATAGGTGGGTGAATGCACTGGTAAGAGTTATGCAAGATGTCTTTTCATTGCTCTATTTTCTCAGCAAAATAAGATAAATCTATGATGTAGAGAACTCTCTTTGGGTAGCAAACAAGCAAAAGAGGTAACAATACTATGAAAGATCGATGGAAAGAAGCAAAATACATGTTGGAATAATCAGACTAGAATGGGCAAGTTCCAAATATACCCTGCCTGAGCAAAGGTTCAAAGACAATAGTGAGATTCATGTGCACTAGGGGAAACAAGTTTAAGTTGAGGTTTTGTACACCAGAGAAATGAAAGTAAAATTGGTTTAGTCCAAATAGTAGAAGGCCTTCAATGACAAGCTGAAGAATTTAGGCATCTATTGCTTTCCCTGGTTTGTATATTCCATTCCACAGTGTTGCTAAGTGATGTATTCCAGAGTTCTTGATTGTGAACTCCTGTGACTGCCAGTGATGCACCTGAAGGACCATTGGCCTTTTTCCACAATGGCTAACAGCCGATTTTCTTGTAGGCAAATTTGGGTTAAGATGTATGGGTATTTTGCGGGGCTGTGTCGGCATTTCCAGAAATACTGCTGTGCCACTGTTAAGGGCTTTTTTGTTAAGAAGAAGGAAAAACAAATCCCTTCAACTGAGACTTATTTTCATAAGGAAAAAATTGTTGTACTTGGTCAAGTGTTGATGAATGAATCCCTACCCATTGAGAGGAGAGCTCAAGCTGCCCAGAAAATTGGACTGCTGGCCTTCACAGGTACTGATCTAACTGGCTGTACTAAAATGAGTGTTTCATGACACTCATTTTATAACGCTGTAGTTTAGTAATTTTTCTTAGCTGTAATCTTAAAATTCTGATAACATTTCATTGGATGAAATTTTTTTGTCTTTGTGCCAAAAATATTACTAATTATTTTATCCTCAAGGATCTCATGTTTTAAAAGAATGTGCCCATCAAATAAACTACTAATTAAATGTCTCCCATTTTTATTAATTAAAATATATATGTACTAAACTGCCTATCAAACTTCTCATTAACATTTAAAAAAATCAAAGACTACAATGATTTGATATAATTTCAACCTAGTGATATGATTCCAATGCAGAGTAAAACTACCTGATATTTCACTTTTTATTTTATGCATTGTACAGTAAATATCTTAGAAAAATCAATAAAAACTTAATACTCTTAAGACACTTACTAGGTAAGCCAATGGGGCATTAGTGACAGACAATTAATATATACTTGGCTAGAAAGCAAAGTGGAAAATAAAGTGGTAACTGTTTGAACACACATTGCTCTAATAATCATCAAGTCCAAACTCACTCCATTTTTTTCTAATTGATAAATTTTAGGATGTGTAATGAGATTTTATAGACTGTCCTCAATAACACATTTCCTAACAAGAAGCTCTGGCTGGTGGCTATAAGAGTCTTTGATTATGTTTATTATTATTATGTTTTGTTTTGTTTTGTTTCATTTTTTTGTCTTTTTTTTTTTTTAGACAGAGTTTTGCTCTTTTTGCCCAGGCTGGAGTGCAATGGCACTCGACTCACTGCAACCTCCGCCTCCTGGGTTCAAGTGATTCTCCTGCCTCAGTCTCCCAAGTAGCTGGGATTACAGGCGGCTGCCACCATGCCTGGCTAATTTGTTTTTTGGTTTTTTTTTTTTTTTTTTTGCATTTTTAGTAGAGACGGGGTTTTGCCATGTAGGCCAGGATGGTCTTGATCTCTTGACCTCGTGGTCCACCCACCTCGGCCTCCCAAAGTGCTGGGATTACAGGCATGAGCCACCGCGCCCGGCCTATTATTATTATTATTATTATTATTTTGAGATGGAGTTTTAATCTTGTTGTCCAGGCTTGAATGCAGTGGTGTGACCTCGGCTCACCGCAACAACCTACCCCTCCAGGGTTCACGCCATTCTCCTGCCTCAGCCTCCCTAGTAGCTGGGATTACAGGTGCCTGCCACCACGCCCAGCTAATTTTTTGTATTTTTAGTAGAGATGGGGTTTCAGCATGTTGGCCAGGCTGGTCTCAAACTCCTGACCTCAGATGGTCCACCCACTTCAGCCTCCCAAAGTGCTGGGATTACAGGCAGGAGCCACCACGCCCAGCCCTTAGACTGAGTTTTAAGTGGGAAGATGAATTACTTAGATGTAGTTTGATAGACTAAATCTTTCAAAGAATGGAGTTCAGGAAAGAAAACAGTGAAAGGAGTCCTTGTTGCCAGAATGGCTGGGAACCACTGGCACAGAGTTAGAAAGGAGACAGGAAACATAGGAGATGCACCCATCTGAGTGGGGGTTAAGGGCTCCCCCAACATGGCGCGGGGTGAGTTTCCTGTGTAGCTATCTTCACCATTTGTGGGAAGAGCTAGCTAATTATAAAAGGATCAGAATTCGTTAATTTGATGGTATTTAGCCTTAGCTGTTCTGGTAGGAAGCTAGGGAAAGGGCCTCTGCCTAGGCTTCAGGTAAAGCTTTAATGTTGAATAGAATATTCTTAAGACCATGGAACCGTGGAGAACAAGTAAGAAAAATCCAAGTGGGATCAAAACTCCAGTGGCGCCGAGCATGGTGGCTATATCTGCAATCCCAGCACAATGGGAGGCGGAGGTGGGTGGATCATCTGTGGTTAGGAGTTCAAAACAAGCCTGGCCAACATGATGAAACCTCAGCTGTACTAAAACTACAAAAATTAGCCAGGTGTGGTGGCACGTTCCTGTAATTCCAGCTACTTGAGAGGCTGAGGCAGTAGAATCGCTTGAACCCAGGAGATGGAGGTTGCAGTGAGCTGAGATCATGTCACTGCACTCCAGCCTATACAATAGAGTGAGACCCTGTCTCAGAAAAAAAAAAAAACCCTCCAGTGGCAAGAATCCGACTAGCTTTGTCAGCTACTCCTCACCACCTAAAAAGTCTTCATCCCGTGTCCTCTTGGCTAGTACCTTGTTGGAGTTTGAGATTTGCACTGGGGCTCAGGTATATGGTGAAAGTAGAGTCTAGGGCCAGGCTGGGTCAGTGGCTAAACAAGAAAAATCTTGTAAGGTCGTGTTAGTCCCATAGCTGCAAAAGAGTTGAGGCAAGAAATGTGTAAGGGGAACAGGACAGCAACGAACAAAAACTCAGGAAAACCTCCCTCCTGCCAGTCAGTCCCTGACAGTGCTGCTCAATCTTTCAATTTGCTCTTGGTACTAATACTCTGGGATCCTTCTTTTTTTTTTCCCCACCAGTACTAAAGGCAGATAATCCAGAATGAGACCACGACGGATATTTGCTAAGCGAACATAGCCAGGTTTTATTCACCTTGAAATACTCACTCTTGGCCAGGTGCAGTGGCTCACGCCTGTAATCCCAGCACTTTGGGAGGTCAAGGCGGGTGGATCACCTGAGGTCTGGAGTTCGAGACCAGCTGATCAACATGGTGAAACCCTGTCTCTACTAAAAATACAAAAAATTAGCTGGGCGTGGTGGTGCATGCCTGTAATACGAGCTGCTTGAGAGGCTGATGTAGGAGAATCGCTTGAACCTGGGAAGTGGAGGTTGCAGTGAGCTGAGATCATGCCATTGCACTCCAGCCTGGGCAAAAAGAGCAAAACTCTGTCTCAAAAAAACAAAACACAAAAAAAAAAAAAAAAAGGAAAGAAAGAAATACTCACTCAATACTCACTCCTGGGTGCTTGCTTAAAGGCACCAGGGAGGAGACCAGCAAGCAGAGACCTTCCCAGGCTTTTCATATCACTGCTTGCTTATCAACACACACTTTCTTGTCTTCATGGCAGCAGCATGGGAGGTGACGGAAAAAGACAGGAAAATTCAAAGTATCCAAAGTATCCTCTATAGGGCAACAAGAATATGAACATATAGGAGCATTCAAAGTGTTATTAGCTACTAGATACACCAAACACTTCTGGAAATGCAAATGTTTGTTTTACAGGAGGACCACCTGCTGGGAAATTTGCAGCTGAGTACATGAAAGAAGTGGCTCACTTGTTGCAAGATGAGGAGGTGGCACCAAAAATAAAGATCCTGCTGCTCCAGAGTGTGGCATGTTGGTGTTACTTAAACCCTGTCAGCCAGAAAAGAGCCCAAAGTCTGCAATTTATTCCTATTCTCGTTAGTTTTTTTGAAGGCAGATTCGAGTCTACTATCAAAAGTGAAATAAACAGCTACCTCCTCCTTAAATTTTGGACTTGTTACGTTCTCTCTGTCATGACATGCAATAACTTGTCTTACGTCAAGGAGCTTAAAGAGCACAGGGCTCTAAAATACCATTTGCAAATGTTGGCTGCTGAGAATTGGTCTGGATGGACAGAGAATTTTGCAGAAGTGCTGTATTTCCTAATTGGTTTTCACAGAAGTTAGTTTCTCTAAGTCCAGTTACATGTTGCAGCTCTCTGTGCCATTGTATTACCCTGGACAACTGAAATAAACAATAAAAGTCGATGTTTTCCTTTGTAGTTGAAGAGTTCTGTATAGATTTTCATACAGTTAATGGCAATAATCAAACTTCAGAAAAACAATGCTGTTTAAAATACCTCGTAGAGAGAGCCCATTGAGCTTGCTCATGAGTGTATTCTTTCCCATTGGGAAATAAAGATGTTAAAGCACGCAGTTAGATACAATGGGGAATATGAATGAAACCACCTTTGCACAAATGATGACAGTGAGAAAAATCTGACAGCAAAAGAAAGCTGACCTGACACCACCTTGCTTCTAACCTCTAAGCTGCCCTTGTTCATTCCTGGGCATAGGCCAAACTAACTTTGGGAAGAATTTAGTTCATAGTTTATGAAACAAAGATGATTACCTAGACTCTTCCCTGAAACAAACTCCCTCCTTGCTTGGGGACCAGACTGCTTCTATAAAAACTAACACATTAGCCACAGATTGGAAATTATGGCTCAGGAGTCATGCAGCCAAAGGCCACCAGATTCCAACCTCCCCAGTTGCACCTACAGATTAGTATTGAAAAACCTAAGGTTAGTATTTGAGGTATTTTTCAGATCCTGCATTCTGATGGATCAGCTGGCACCACCCAGACTGCCAAGCTGGTTCTTTTGATCTTATGGTCACCAACCAGCAACTGACTCAGCACAAGAGGACAAGTTCCAGCCTCCTATGATTTCATCCCCAACAGAACCAATCGGCACCAGGGAGGAGACCAGCAAGCAGAGACCTTCCCAGGCTTTCATATCACTGCAGATTTTCAACTGTACAGATGTTGGCTTCCCTAATGGCTGCCTTGTTCAAGGGTGAACTGTAATTTATATAACCAGTCCTATACTGATGAACATTTAGGTTATTTCCAATATTTTCATAGTTCAAAGTTATAACGAATAACCTTAAATATGTGTGATTTCACATGTGTGAGTGTATCTGTTGAATAAGTTTCTAGAAATGGGATTGCTCAGCCATACTTACATCATTTGCTTTTGTTTTATTCTGTTCCCTGCATTGTGACTTTTGCCTCACTTTCTGTTGACTCTGCTTTGTCAGCACGGGATTATGTTTTTTACAGCTTACTGTCATTTTAATAAGGTTTCAGAAAGACCGAAATTAAATGGCTCTGTTCAATTGACATGTTTAACCAGAAATTGCTGAAGGCCTCTCTGTGACAATGTTTAGAGAAATTTTGGTTAACATTTTATCTACAGAAGATTAGCTTATAAGGTAATCTAATAATATGTTCTACTCAAATTCCTTTTTGGTATCTGGAACCCCTTTAAGTTGAAGGAAGTAAGATACAAGATTCAGATTTGAGCTGAGGCATTTTTACTCTAAACTTTGAATTTTAAACTGGCTTACCAAAGCTTTAACAACAGTGATTTTGTTTTCCTTTGCTGTCCCTTCTAAGTTCATCTCTCCCAACATTTGAGTTTTCCTAGAAGCAAATCCGAGGATTTGCTTAAGAATTTGAGATATTATTTGGGAGGTGATCTCAGGAACTAGCAATAGGGAAGGGAAGAAAGCCAACAAAAGATGTAGTATGAAGAAAGCTGCCACTGTAGGTAAACGGAAGCTTAATCCTGCTGGGAAACCATCTGGTAAACACACAACACATACACCGTAAGAGTTATTTCATCCAGAGGTCCCAAGGAGCTCAGATATGTATACATCAATTCTTATCCTTCTTGGTTGACCTAACAACCTAGTTAGTCACAACCTAAAAGTCAACTGAAATATCTTGAAGGGTGTGGGTCAGACAAAGAAATTTTCTAAACAAACCAAAAGTACAAGGGCCCTAAGGCAGTGTGGTGGACGTTTGTTGCTTTTTGGCTCACTAGAATTTATTCTTTCTTCTAATACCACTTCTGTTTATTTGGGGGAGATATGTTACCTATGGTGTAGTCTTAAAATTCATTTCTAGCTGCTTTTGGATTAGCTTTTCTCTTGCCTTCCTACAATTATCCTTCATTTGGTCTTATTGCATCAACCTCCAAAAGAATTGGAAATAATTGTGGTCCATCCTTTTCTACTCTTGACCTTGAAACTAAATCCAAAGCTTCACCATTAAGCATTATGTTAAACATGGGTAGCGTAGTTTCTTTCAGGTTAAAATTTTATTTTCCTAGCTTACCAAGAGTTTTTACGAGAAAGGGTGTTGGATTTTTTCAATGCTATTTTACCATCTATGAAGAGGATATGCTTTTTCTCCTTTAATATAAAGAACTTCATGTTTACTAATATTGTAGCAGTCTTGCATTCCTAAGATAAACCCTAACTTGGTCATCATTTTATCTTTTAGTAGATTAGACTTGCCATTTTATGTATGATTTTTCAATCTGTATTAATAGGGCTCTAGACTCCCCCACTCCAACCTTATGGTCCATCCTCATAATCTTTTTTTTTTTTTTTGAGATGAGGTTTTGCTCTTGTTGCCCAGGCTGGAGTGCAAAGACGCAACCTCAGCTCACTGCATCCTCTGCCTCCTGGGTTCAAGTGATTCTCCTGCCTCGTCCTCCCAAATAGCTGGGACTATAGGTGTGCACCACCACGCCTGGCTAATTTTGTATTTTTAGTAGAGACGGGTTTTCACCATGTTTGTCAGGCTGGTCTCGAATTCCTGACCTCAAGTGATCCACCCACCTGGGCCTCCCAAAGTGCTGGGATTACAGGCATGAGCCACCGCACCCAGCTGGTCCATCCTCAAATCTTGCTATCAGTTATGCTAGCCTTGTAAAACATATTGGCGAATTAGTTCAGTCTAATCCAGACTTCATGCATACTGTTTTTCCAACGGATTCTTATCCATTTGCCATTTCCTTAAGGAAGCTCGATTGCATGTTATTAAACCAACTTCAAAGAACTAGTTCTAACTGGCCAGGCTCCCTGACCCCTTCTCCAAGGTATTTTCATTGACATGGTTTTCTTTATTTTTTGAGACAGACCCTCACCCTGTCACCAAGGCTGGAATGCAATGGCGCAATCTAGGCTCACTAAAACCTCTGCCTCCCACGTTCAAGCAATTCTTGTGCCTCAGCCTCCCGAAAAGCTGTGACTACAAGTGTGCGCCACCATGCCCAACGAATCTTTTGTATTTTTAGTAGACACAGCATTTTGCCATGTTAGCCAGGCTGGTCTCAAACTCCTGGCCTCAAGTGATCCGCCTGCCTCAGCCTCCCAAAGTGTAGGGATTACAGGCGTAAGCCATCACACCTGGCTGACATGTTATACTAACATTTGATACCTAATTAAAAATCAGACTCACCTTCCACAGGAAATTCCTACAAATTCTCCATCACTAGGGTCAGTTCCCAGGGACGAGAAGCTTAAAATGTCCCCAAAATGAGCCCCTATATGACCCCTAGGCAACTACTAATCTGCTTTCTCATTATACTTTGTAGTTTTGTGATTTCAAATAAATGGAAGCATACAGTATGTATTTACCTGGCTTCTGTCACACAACATTGAGATTCATCCATGTGGTGTGTACCAATTTTTAATCCCCTTTTTTTTTTGAGACAGAGTCTCGCTTTGTCCCCCAGGCTGGAGTGCAGTGGCGCGATCTCGGCTCACTGCAAGCTCTGCCTCCCAGGTTCACGCCATTCTCCTGCCTCAGCCTGCTGAGTAGCTGGAACTACAGGTGCCTGCCACCAGGCCTGGCTAATTTTTTGTATTTTTTAGTATTATTAGAGACAGGGTTTCACTGCGTTAGCCAGGATGGTCTCAATCTCCTGACCTCATGATCCGCCCGCCTCGGCCTCCCAAAGTGCTGGGATTACAGGTGTGAGCCACCGCGCCCAGCCTTTTGTCCCCTTTTTATCGCTAAATAGTATTCCACTGTATGGTTATACCATAATTTATCCACTCAGTTACCAATGGATATTTTGGCTATTACAAATAAAGCTATGAAAAGGTGCGAGCTACTCCTCATGTGGACATATGCTTTCATTTCTCTTGGGTAAATATCCAGGGGTGGAATGGCTGAGTCATATAAAATGTGTATGTATAACTTTCAAGGAATTGTTCAGCTTTTCTACAGCAGTTGTAGCATTTAACATTGCCGCCACCACTGCAGGAGGGTTTCAGATGCTTCACATCCTTAACACTTGATATAGTTTTTATTTCTCAAACTTAAAACAATTCTGAAAGGTATGTAGCAGTTACCTGGTTGTCATTTAATTTGCACTTCCTTGATGACTAATGTTGAGCATTACATTAAGCATCTTTTCATGCACTTATTTTCCATCTCATATATATCCCAGTTCTTTACAGATACAAATACTTTGTTGGCTATGTTCTACAAATATGTTCCCCCAGTCTGCTCTTGCCTTTTCATTTGCCTGTCTTTCAGAAAGTTTTTAAAATTTACAAAGTTAAATTTAAAGTTTATGCTTTTTTGTTTCCTATTTTGAGAACTCTCTGCCAAACCCAAAGTCACTAAGAATTTTCTATATAATCTTCTAGAAGTTTTATGGTTTTAGCTACTACCTTAGTTTTTTAATCCCCTTCAATTCCCTCTCCTTTTGCTCCACACCATCAAATCCTGGCATTTTACAAAAATACTTTCTATTTGCCGAGTCCCTATTCTACTTACCTATTTTCTTTCTTAAGCATGCTAAAGGTCTCTCAGCTGATTCTCCTCGTGCTCTAATCCAGAATATTCTTCAATTCCTTTTTTAAAATTAATTCACCTATTCTTTAATTCTATCTTTAGGCTAGCGATCCAAACCTGAAACATACAGAGCCACAATAACGTAACTGCCACTAGCTTCTTGTAGTGACTTAAATCAAAATGTCCATACCTCATTCACACTAGCCACACTTCAAGTGCTAAACAGCCACACAGGAATGGCTACCATACTGTACAGCAGATATTCTCATCATCCCAATAAGTTCTACTGGACAATGTTGTTATAGATTAATAATAGCTTCCATTTTTAAGGCACTTAGTCCAGACACTAAAGGTTTTAATCTTCACGATAACACTGTGAGGCAGGCTTTATCTCAGTACTAAAGAAAATTAAGGCCAGGTGCAGTGGCTCACGCCTATAATCCCAACACTTTGAAGGATGAAGCAGGCGGATCGCTTGATGCCAGGAATTCAAGACTAGCCTGGGCAACGTGGCGAAACGCCGTCTATACAGAAAATTAGCCAGGTGTGGTGGCACGCACCTGTAGTCTCAGCTACTTGGGAGGCTGAAGTAGGAAGATCACTTGCGCCCAGCAGGTGGAGGCTGAAGTGAGCTGAGATTGCACCCCTGTACTCCCGCCTGGGTGACAGAGTGAGACCCTGTCTCAAAAAAAAAAAAAGAGAGAAAATTAAGGTTCTGTAAGGATACTTACCTCAAACAATCCTTTCAAAAGCTTGAGGCCAGGTGTGGTGTCTCACACTTGTCATCCCAACACTTTGGGTGGCCAAAGTGGGCGGATCACTTGAGGTCAGGAGTTCGAGACCAGCCTGGCCACCATGGTGAAACCTCGTCTCTACTAAAAATACAAAAATTAGCCAGGTGTGGTGGCAGGCACTTGTAATCACAGCTACTCCGGAGGCTGAGGCAGAATCACCTGAACCAGGGAGGCAGAGGTTGCAGTGAGCCAAGATGGTGCCATTGCACTCCAGCCTGGGCAACAAGAGCAAGACTCCGTCTCAAAGGGGGGGAAAAAATGCATAAAGCATGACATTGCTCTTTATTGCCAATTTATACAAAACTACTTGTATGCCTCTCACAGAACTTTAATTCCAGTGCTGCATACCCCTAGTTTGTACTTTTCCTCCTGTAAAACTTAGTATATATGGGAAATCCCTGATGAATCTGACCCTACTCTTATTCTTCAATATTTACATACTTTGCACTACACCAATATGTGAAATAGAAAAGCTCCATAATTTTCAGCTATTTCTGTTTTTTTCTGTCGAACTTTCACCCACTCCTCACTTTGTTTCTCTAGGATTATTATCATCATCCATCATTTTAAGCTTCCAAGAATAGTCTGATCCTGCTAGCCAGTTAAGCCTCTCACTGGCTAATCACATTCATTTGAAAAGCTTTTGGAAAATAGATTCTCATGCTCCATTCCATAAAACTACCTGTTAATATCAATAGTGTCTACAGTGAGCTTGAGGTACAACAAAGTTTGGGAGTTAAAACCTCAGCTATCTCAGTCTAAATACTTTAAGTTCGTTTTTTCCTTGTTTTCTCCAAGGTAGTTAGCAAAAGAATGGAAAGAGAACAACATAAAAGCATAGAAACAGACAAATTTTCTACACATACTCCTTATACTTCATTATTCTAAGTTATACACAATGTTCAACAGGAGTTTGAAGTTTATTTAGTAATATACATAAGTCATGGCTGACAACTGAGAAAATCCTATTTACATGAACCATCATAGTTTAAAAATACATAGTATTTGTACTTTAATACAATAGGGTCCCAGGATTCAAACAAGGAAGTTTGATTCCAGAATTGGCATTATGTAGTTACGTACTCTGCTACAAAGAACTAGTGGAGGTAAACTTCGGCAGTAAAATTCTCAACAGTCAAATATTAATACATTTCATAGACATGGCTTTGCATCCGTAGAGGAAGATACAATTCCTTCAGCACATGTGCCAATTTCTGAGTCTTCCCCTACAGAATCCTCAACAGTATCTTCTTCAGAATCAAATTCCTGATTATCCAGTGATTCAAATTTATCCAGAGGTTCACCATTCAGTCTCTTAAAGAATAAACCAATAATTTATTGTAAAAATGTTAAAACCTAAGTTGATCAGCATATTGATATAGCTGACCCGTATAGCATACCAATATAGCTATGAGATTTTTTTCATCTTGCCCCTCAATAAATTCATTTATCAACAGTGTGATATCAAAGTCTCTACCACACTAGATTATAGTCAGCAAAGTGTTTAATAATTTGCCTTTTTTAAAAAAAGCACTGAAATGATTGCAGACTATAAACAGGTACTTTCCCAATCAGCTGCAGGGACAACTAGGTGTTCTACATTTCCAATCAGCTGTGGATTAATACTTTTAAGGCAGTTAAGAGACTTACCATAGTATTTCCAAATGAAAACTTCAAACATTAATTCTATCATGGGTCTCAAATGTAAGGTCACAATTCAGTTACATGAAAAGTTTTGATTTGAAAAACTTTCTTCCTATCAGCAAGACAAACTTTTTGCAAACATGAATAAATAAATCTTAAAACCTTTTTAAGGTCAAGTCTGAAAAAGCAACACTTAACAGGCTAATTCTTAACAAACACATTAGCTACTTACAAAATGTTTTAAAGTCAGATAAAACCACAAAACTTATTTAGTGTACAAATTAGCAATTTTATAAATGACAGTAATGTCAAGCTGGTATTAAAATTAAAACTATCTAAAAATGTGTCAACTATGAAATAATTTTCTATACCTATTTTCCAGGGATAATTCCTTTTAATAACTCTTCCAAAAAAAGATGGTCTTTTGCTTCGTAATAATAATTAAGTTACTGAACTTTTACTCTCTGCAAGTACTCCTTGCAACTGTCCATCTATTATAACTCATTTAATTCTCATAACAAGTCTATAAGGTAGGCATCATCATTACTCTCATTTTATGGATGAGGAAGATGAAGCCCTGACCGGATAAACCCACTCTACCCAGCAAACTTAATGGTGTTAGGAAGGAAGTTAAGTCTCAAATCCAGGAAGTCTGATTCCAGAGCTCACACACTTCAAAGGGATCACACTATATACTACCTGAACTTTATAGACAAATACATAAATTTGAACCAGGTAACTATTAAATTACCTACCTCTATTAGCTCTGCCATATACTGTACATGTTCTGCTACTTCTGCCAATTCTTTGTTCTCCTTTTTCAGGCGGGCAATTTCGTTGTCCTTTTGTTCGATTTCTTTATGAAGCTATATTACATTAATAAAGTTCAGTATTCTATAGATTTGCTGTGCTATAAATCAAATTACATGCCTCCAAGTATATAACATGGAAGACATGCAGCATAGAATTAACTCTCAACACAACAGGATTCATTTTGTGTAATTCTGTCAAGAGCTGCCTTTTTACTTAAACTTTTCTTAAGCCAATATTAAAGCCAGCTCATATTGCTCTAACAAAATATGCTAAGCAGCAAGAGTAAAACAATCCTGGAATTTTTAAAAATGGTACAAATGATACTCAATACATACTTTCTCATTTTCCTTAAGTGCTTCATACAGCGCCTTCCTCCGTTTTTCTGCCACTTCTTTCCAATATTGAGAGGATGGATTTTCTAAAATAATATTTTACATATAACTTTAAAAATCATTACTGTCAAAACCCACTAATTTGTTTCAAAAAAATTTCCAATCTTAGTACCCTCCCATATTGTTTAGTAATACTCATTTTTAAAAGATTAAAGTTAGAAAATAAAATCAGTATTCTTCTATTTTCCCCAACATTTCAAAGATTTCAATCCTTCAGAAGAATTACAACAAAAGTACAATAGGTATATCTCTTCCGCCTAGATTATTAAAGATTTTTGCAACACATTTGTTTTGTGAGGTCATGTCTTTTTATGTAACAATGACATTTTTACAAAGTCCAATCAGTTATTTTGTACACTGTCCTGAATTTTTTATTTCTATCTCCATGATTAGATTCAAACTAAACATTTTTGGCAAGAATACTATATAAGTATAGTATAAGAATACTATGTAAGTATGTATCCTCAGTGTATCATCAAGAAGCACATGCCAATTTGTCATGATATTGAAGATGTTAAATTTGATCATTTGATTAAGATGCTATCTATCAGATTTCTGCCTTGTAAGGATAACTTTTTCCCTTAGTAATTAACTAATGAACTGTAGAGTAAAATATTTGAGACTGTGTCAATACCCTGTTCTCCAACAACTTTTTACCTAAATTTAATTCCATTGATGATTGATGTTTCCGGCTTTTATCTATTACTTATACAGCGGATGGAAAATCGATTTTTTTCACTTATGTAATTCCTTCTACATGTAGTAGTTAGCATTATTCTGTAAATAAAAACTTTTCCTACCCCAATTTAAAAGAAAATTTATCAGTATGGACTCATACATCCTTTTGTATTCAATGCATTATAATCCATTCTTGTCGTTATTCATTTTGATGCTCAAATTTTCCCAACTTTAGTCTGTGAGAATCCTTCCAAGATTACGTGTGTTCTTTCAACATGTCCACCCGTTTTTGAGTACTTCCTTATTTTCTGTCACAAGATAATCCATGATCACCTAAAGTTTCCCTGCCCCTGACCTGGAATCAGCAATTTCTCCAAGGAACTCTAGTGAAGAATAGTGTTTACAAACCAAGAACTGGATACAGGGTGTGCTCCTTGCTACAGAGGTGTAGTGTGTTTCTACCTATTTAGGGGCAGTGCTAGGAAATGTAATACTTCAACATGTTACTCATTTGCTCAATCCTAAAATATACACAATTTTTTTTTCCCCAAAATTACAATAATACCACTGCCAACGAATATAACAAAGTTCAAACAACAAATGTAATAAAGTTTGGGATTTCTTTGCAATTATTTTAATTTTTACCATATATGCCAAAGGGTTACATGGATAATGTTTTCCACCTGTGGTTATATTAGCAGTATGATATATAGTTATTTGTCTTGATATTTAACTTTATTTTAACTAATCCTTGATGTAATTTTTAACTTAATCAGATATGAGTGTCACAAATCCTGCTCTTTAATCTACAATATTTTTAAAGAGCTTCTTTATTTCTATCCAGTCAACCTTTCCTAATTTTTCCTAATAAAAATCGTACTGTCTACTTCTCTTCTTCCTGTCTTCAAGGCAATTCAAAATGAGCCCAAATGTTACTGTGACCTTGAGCAAGTCAATTAACTTCTCTAGGCCTCAATTTTATTATCAGTAATTAACATCCAATGACCTATAATTCACACAGAAATAATAATCTTCCATAATGCTTGTAAAACATCAGTTGCTTCTTCTGATGTATACTGCCATTCCATTAAAAACTAGTATTTATTACAGGCATAATTCTTCTCATTCATCTTCACTCTCTTCATCCATATTTTTATTGGTTTCCTTATGCCATACTCTCCTGGAATATTCAAATTCCTTTCATACTTCAACTTATCATCTAAACATTTTTCTTCTAAAAAACCTATTTCCAAGTCTTGTAAACTCTTACAAGGCAATCCAATATCAGAGCTGTCATATTAATAACTATCCTTTCCCCTCACCCTTTTCTTTTCCTTCAGAGACTGGGTCTTGCCCTGTCTCCCAGGCTGGAGTGCAGTGGTGCTATCATAGCTCATTGAGGCCACAAACTCTTAGGCTCAAGTGATCCTCCTGACTGAGCCTCCTGAGTAGCTGGGAATACAGGCACAAGCCACCATGCTCCGCTAATTTTTTCATAGAGATAGAGCCTCACTGTATTGTCCAGGCTAGTCTCAAACTTCTAGACTCAAGCCATCCTCCTGCCTCAGCCTCCTAAATTGCTGGGATTACAGGCGTAAGCCACTGCACTGGGCCTCCTTTTCCTAACATTTCATCCACACATGGATCTTGCCAAACAAATGGTCACACAAAAACATTTATAGTGCTGTTATACTAACCTCAGATTACGGTAATTGGCAGAATTCATAATAGTATTAACAAATTCTTCCTTATATCATAATTTAAAATTTTAAGACAAAAGTTACCTATTTTTTCGTACCGTTAATCATAAGATCAAATGACTCCTGGGTGACTCCTCCAAGATTTTTATTTTCACTAGATTCTGGGACAATAACCCCAGGGCTGGAAGTTGTAGATGTTAACTGGTCATTCCGATGTTTCCTTTTGGACAAGCCTGTGGACAGCTATAATGAAAACACTTATCAACTGTATTTACTTTGATTTAATTAACAAGAAATTAGGTGGTTTTTCATTTATGTATTAAAAAAAGAGAACGCGTATCTTTTTTACATCTCTGGATCTTTAAAAAAGTTATACAATTAAAAATTCTACCAAAATGTATAGTAACATTTTAGGAATTTTATTTGCAACAATTATTTTGGATTAGACTGGGGTCTAGAGCTTAGCTGAAATTATTTATTTTTTTTTTAATTTTAATTTTAATTTTTTTTTTTTTAGACGGAGTCTCACCCTGTCACCCAAGCTGGAGTGCAGTGGTGTGATCTCGGCTCACTGCAACCTCCACCTCCCGGGTTCAAGTGATTCTCCTGCCTCAAGCCTTCCGAGCAGCTGAGATTACAGGTGTGTGCCACCACACCTGGCTAATGTTTTTGTACTTTTAGTAGAGATGGGGTTTCATCTTGTTGGCCAGGCTTGTCTCAAGCTCCTGACCTCAGGCAGCCCACCCACCTCGGCCTCCCAAAGTGCTGGGATTACAGGCGTGAACCACCACACCCGGCGAACTTCTTAAATTTAACAATTAAAACCAGAATCACTTCTTTGGGAAATATATAATTGTTATTCCCAAATTATTTTCAAATTTCAACAATTTATGTGTTTCTGACCAAGAAAATAGTAGAAATGTTTTTAATGTAGACATTGTATCACCAGTACCCCATTTTAGCCATATAGTGCATACCTCATTTTCTCTTCCAACAAGAGATCCAGATGCAGAAGGCTGAATCATCTTCAGAGTTCTTCTTTGGATAGAACTATTCTAAAAAGTCAAGATAATTCATTATCTTGTTACTGAGTTGCAATATGGTTATTTAGTTACTGAGTTTCTGTATGGAGTGTTACTCTTAGTCCTTCTATAATTTAGAGGGGGGAAAGAAACACTAAGAATACAAACATTTGGTCAGCTATATAATTTTATAAGGTTACCTATGAACAAGACACTGGTTTAATCAACTGACAAACTTATTTCCAAAAATCACAATAAAGTTTCAAGAATTCTTAAGAATGAATCATATTACCCAAACTAGACACAAACACACATAACTTCTCTCATTTCAATGTATGCTCTTGCTATGGTCATTTTGTTAATCATATCTAGTTAAAACAAACATAACAAAATTCCTCGGCTCCAATGAACAGTTCAAACCATGTATGACAAAATTCTAATACAAGAAGGATATCTGTATTGTCTCTGAAAAATCTTCCACACAAAAACTAAAATCTTACAGGTACTCTTTCATAAAACCAAACATCGTAACGTTTATGGTATGAACTCACCAAACAGGTCAACTGGGAGAAAAGGTTAATCATTTACACTGTAAAATATTTCTTTCCCTAATCAAAAAGATTCATCTCAGGCCTCCTTAAATCATGAATATCCCCCAAATACTTATATGTACTCACCGAAATAATGTAATTTTCCAGAACATACTTTACACAAAACAAAGTACATGTGTAATAGACATCCCCCCTCAACCATTACCTGATAGTAGAAGCAGTTCTGCTTCAAGCCCATTCATTAGAAGGCGGCTAATATGTCAGTGCCTGAGGCATACTAAACTACTCTAAAATGCCCAAGCTATTGTTTTGGTAAAAATATTGCCTTCCTTGTAATATGTAAATAACTTCCTGTATATTTCATGACCTGAAAGTTCTCTCTTATTTTTGCAAAATATCATTAGTTATACTGCCACCATGGGATAGCAAACAATGGTGAATACTCAAACAAGGTTAGCAAGAACATGATACCATACCAGCGTGAGAAAGTTACTGATTCCACACTGTACCTCACATGACAAGAGTTCACCTTTCCCACGGTAAAGTTTCTACTGCTGATTATTATCTCACCATTTAACTGAAGGACAAACGCCAGCTACTGTGAGAACAAATATTATACCAACATTTCAGATATAATTTAGATTACAGATTAGTCAACAGTCTGCAGACAAATAAAAGAAAATGTAACGTTGGAACCTTACTAGTAAGAGGTGTTAATTTATTTAAATGCTTGCTGTTAATAATGGTCAAAGAAGCAAGCTAAATTACTGTCACCAAAAAAAAAAAAAAAAGACCATTTCCAAGATTTACCTTTTATTTATATAAGCTGTATAGGCCCAAAACAATGTAATATTATTATTATTATTTTCTGTATATAGAGTATGCATTGGAATAATAGACTCTTAAAGCCAGAAAGTTTCTTGTATATTAATGGGTCTTAACCTTTTTGGAAAACTATTTATGTGAATCCTCTCCCCCAAAAAATTCACATAAAAGCACATTCACACAGAACTTTGCGTACAACTCACAATGATCTAGTTCTAGTCCAGTTCCCTCAATTTACAGATGAGTAAACTGAGGCTGAAATGCTAACCCACCCAAGGTCTCAGTTTTGGAGGTAGAACCAAAACCAAACAGAACCCAGTAACCTTTATATTCAAGATAGTTTTACTGTAGCTAGTAAACACAAGACTTTTTTAAAAATGTAATCTGCTGGAAATATATAAATTATTTGGCTGTGATTTGCTTCAAACTAATCCACTGAAGGAAAAGTGGAGTAAATAAGGACACAGATGAAACCAAATTGGCCATATAGTGGTAATTGCTGAAGTTGAGGAAGTAAATTAAAATACTGACTCTACTTTTAAATATTTCAAAAATTTCATAACAAAAATTTTAAATAATCACACACAAAGCACTGTGGGAAGATGCCATCATCCTAAATGGAAGCTAATGGAATCAAATTCACAAATTGTCAATGCAAACTATTATTCAAGAAAAATAATGTAAGAATCCTAAGAAAAGCAAGGCAAACAAAAAACCCTTCAAAAGGTACTTGCTTATACTTATCAATGGCTTTTAAGTACTCGATTTAGCTTACTTAATATTAAAACTTTTTTTTTAGGTACAGGGTCTTACTCTGTCACCCAGGCTGGAGTACTTGCTTATACTTATCAATGGCTTTTAAGTACTTGATTTAGCTTACTTAATATTAAAACTTTTTTTTTAGGTACAGGGTCTTACTCTGTCACCCAGGCTGGAGTGCAGTGAAGCAATCACAACTCACCGAAGCCCAAACTCCTAGGCTCAAGCAATTCCTCCCACATCTCGGCCTCCCAGTAGCTGGGATTACCAGTGGGTGCCACCACTGGTAAAAATTATGGTTTTTTAGAAACAAGGTCTCCCTTTGTTGCCCAAGCTGTTCTCAAACTCTTGAGCTCAATCAATCCTCCTACTTCAGCCTCCCAAGTAGCTGGGATCACAGGCATGAGCCACCATGGGCACCTGGCTCTTTATTTAATTTAAACCCATAAATTGATAATTTTCCTGAAGATGTGGTCCAATTCCCAAGGTATTCATACTAATTTGTATGGAAGGACCTAGCTAAATTGTAAATTCACTTAGAACCATAAATATGAATCTAGTCAAAATTATAAACCCAAAACTAAACAAACTCTGTCCTGTTGTCGTAACAATAAATACTTGGAATAAGATTTCCAGTGAAACTATCATATAGGGATTCAAAAAGTATTGCAAATCAAATTGGTTAGATGGTAATGAATACGGTATACTCTAGAAAAATGTGTAATATAATGCAAAACATGTCTGTGGTCAAAGACCCTTAATTCTGAAGATATACACAAGGGATTTTAATAACATCATTTCATGAAATATAAGAGTAGAAACAAAGGAGTAAATCTTATACATAGAAAATCCTAAAGATACTTCTGGAATCTTCACAGAGAAAATACAAAAAGAAAAGAAAATCCTGAAGAATCTACTAGAAAACAATTAGAACTAATAAACAAGTTCAGTAAGGTTTCAGGACACAAAATCAAGATACAAAAGTCAACTCTTTTCCTATGCAGTAGCAATGACCAAATGAGAATGAAATTAAGGAAACAGTTCCATTCACAATAACCTCAAAACGAATTCTTAGGAAAAAATTTAACACAAATTGTGTAAAATTCATGCTCTGAAAACTACAGACTACTGTTGAAAGACCAAAATAAGAGACAACCCACATTCTTGGGTCACACTTAATATTCTACCGTAATTAGTTTTTTTAAAACGTTCTCTATTGTTACTCATCCTCTGACTAACTCAAGGCTTACAGCCAGGCTAAATTTGGCTAAATCATGTCAAAATACTTTTATTTTAACCCCATGCTTTCTACAAAAGAAATTAAAGTTATTCAATCACATACCTTTACATTCTCTTTGATTTCTTCTTGTTTCTGCTTCATACTGGGATTCATTATGTAGATGGTACAGCACAGAAGACTAGTAATTAAAAAACAATATGGTTTGCACCCCTGAAGGTGGAGTCTAGGTTTAAAATACTTACAATCATAAAAATTATACTATTGTACAGTAGAACTATTATTTTTTCTCTCTTAATCCAAACTCAGCCCTGTCAATGACTAAGGTGACTAAAGTTAATGACTCTTGATATCTATATTTTACATATATACACACATTATAATTATGTCTGAAAAAATGAAATTAATGTATTTTAAACCAATTTTTAAAACTGGTTTAAAATTTCTAAACGTATTGTCCTGGATTAAATACAGGGCTCTCAAAGATCTGAGAAACAGTCACCAGAAATAGCAAAATATACAGACACTAGGGTATGCCCAGGTCCATCCTAAAGAGCAACATCTTAACTTTCCTGCTTCAAAGACAGATTTAAGGTATAATAAACTCGGCTCTGACAATAACTTAATACTGACTTAATATCAGGTCAAATGAGATCATGCATTTACATCTGTAGGAAATGTTTAACCAGTAACATGAACTGAAGTACTAACAAGCAAGAAAGAGGGAAAAGGTAGAAAGGGATATATGTAATGTGATTAACTAGACCACTGGCCAAACTCACAACAAACTCAGCATCTGAACTGCTCCTCCACTGCCCACTACCCACTGCCCCCCACCGTGTCTGCGCCTGTGCCTACTCGATAGATGTCCCTAATTTTTGTGGCCATGCCTTTACTCAGTGCAGTGGCTTTTCTAACATTAATACATTTTACCTTGTGTCCTGGCGCGCGCGCGCACACACATGTGCAAACAAAAAAGCTGAGGACAGGCCGGGCGCGGTGGCTTACATCTGTAATCCCAGCACTTTGGGAGGTTGAGGCAGGCGGATCGCCTGAGTGATCACCAAAGTGCTGGGAGGTAGAGGCAGACGGATCACCTGAGGTCAGGAGTTCGAAACCAGCCTGGCCAACGTGGTGAAACTCCGTCTCTACCAAAAATACAAAAATCAACCGGATACGGTGGTGCTCGCCTGTAGTCCCAGTTACTCGGGAGGCTGAGGCAGAAGTATCGCTTGAAGCCGACAGGTGGAGGCTGCAGTGAGCCGAGATTCTGCACTCCAGCCTGGGCAACAGAGTGAGACTCCGTCTCACATAAAAAAAAAAAAAAAAAGCTTAGAAAACAAAACAATCTAATTTGTGCGGGCACCCTGCTATTTTCTACTGCATTTAATGTTAAGAAAATGCGGTTTGGGCCCCAGTAAACAGACCCCAGGCAATGTTCTTCAAACTGTGGGTCGCCGGTCGTGATCTCAAAATCATTTAGTTAATCATGAGCAACATTGCTTAGAAAAATGCAACTGAACAGAATGGAATTGAAAAGATGAGAAATAGTGCTTCCATCAACGTCTCAGTTGGTTAGATGGCTGTGTCCTAGGTTGCGATGTAAAATGTACTTTAGTATGAAAAAAGCTGAAAACCACTTAGCAGTCTAATCCTTCACAAGTTTCCCACGCCTATCAGCGACCTTGCACCCTTACTTGCTTGTTATTCTCTAGTTTCTTTAATAGCTAGATTAAAAACCCCGGCAAAGGACAGGGATCCATGCGAACCTCGTATCAGCAACGCCAGTATCCGTTTAATGGGAGACGCAGGATTCAGCGACCTCTTCCCATGAGCCAAATTTGCAGATCCCTCAGATCAGGACCAGCCACTTAACTGCCAAGAGGATGGATGCCTCGCCTCATCCCCACAGCTAGGCACGCCCAGGCTGAGTCCCTCACCAGCGTTGCACTCCCCAAGCCCGGACCCAGCCAGCTGGTCCCGCAGGCCCAGCGCCAGGCTAGGGGGCGGGCAGTGTGGCCCCGCGCGCCCGACCTACCAACCGCGGCGCGCGACCCGGGAACTGCGCCAGCCAGCCAATAGGGAGCGTGGAAGTGAGAGCGCGCCAAAACCGACCCAGCCAATGGGGCAGTCCCTTGACTCACCTCCTTACCCTGCCGCGCCACCAGCGACCGTTCAACAACCCCTTCGCCCTTACCCCGGCCGTGGCCCCGCAGCTGTCAAAGTAGGACGCGGCTTCAGAGGGTGGCCGGAACGAAACCGAGTGGTCTAGGGGCTGTGCACCTTGCGCCCCTGCGTACCCACTTCCTGCCGCCTCTTGCACACTTACTAGGTGGAGACGCTCAATCCTCGTAGCGAACGCTGTGGCTGCAGCACCTCGAAAAAGACTACAGCTCACCTACGCTGATCCCCACTGTCGCTGGAGTGTCCGGCGCGCTCTGCAGTAAAGCCCTACCAAGTCCGCTTGCCAGCTCCGAACAACCACGTGACCAACTGACGCAGCGAGAGGCGGGGCCTCTGGAATCCCGCGAATCGCCTCTCCCCTCGGTCCCGCCCCTTCCTGCGCCTGCGCGGTCGACGGTAGCGAGTACTAAGACCGTGGGGATTTTCTGCTACCTGGGAAGTCTGTGCCCTTTGACCCTCCCCTCCGACCCAGCTCTCGGAACTTCCTTAAAATGCAAAGTTTTAACCCTTTACGAAAGGGAGAAAGATTTGCCTCCGTTAGTCGTTAACACCGGAAGAACAAAATATTGTATGTACATATGTATTAATATGTAGTACACGACATACATTTGTGTAAAGCCCCGGCTCCACGGACTCGTAGTTGTATTAGGGGCTTTTATATTTTGGCTTTTTGTGTTTTGACTATGGTATGGTGCAGGAGGAATTGTTCAGGGAGACAATGATCAGTTAATCCTGCGGCTATTCATTGAGCGCCTTATAGTGCCAATTACTACTGTTCTAGGCACTGAAATTACAACTGCTGTTGCAGTTTGAAGGAGCAGAAACATCTTGGTAATAATTACGTCTAGCCTTTATTTGTTTTTTTTTATTATTATTTTTAATTGAAATGGAGTCTCGCTCTGTCACCCAGGCTGGAGTGCAGTGGCATGATCTCGGCTCACTGCAACTTCTGCCCCCTGGGTTCAAGCGATTCTCCTGCCTCAGCCTCCCGAGTAGCTGGGATTACAGGTGCCTCCCACCACGCCCGGCTAATTTTTGTATTTTTTAGTAGAGACAGGGTTTCACCACGTTGGTCAGGCTGGTCTCGAACTCCTGACCTCGGGTGATCCACCCGCCTCGGCCTCCCAAAGTGCTGGGATTACGGCCTCCCACCGCGCCCAGCCTGCCTTTTCTTTTCTTTTATTTATTTTTTTTATTTTTTTTTTTGGAGACGGAGTCTCGCTCTATTGCCCAGAGTGGAGCGCAGTGGCGCAATCTCGGCTTACTGCGACCTCCGCCTCCTCGGTTCAAGCGATTCTCTGCCTCAGCCTCCCGAGTAGCTGGGATTACAGGCGCCCACCACCACTGCGCCCCGCCTG